AAGTGATGAATGACTGCTCAGAGGTAATTATTTAGATTTTTTTTTTTTAATGGAGTCCATTTTCCTGGGGATGTTCAGGAAATGACTGGATGTGGCACTTAATGCCATGACATAGTTGACAAGGTGCTGAGCAGTCAGAGGTTGGACTTGATGAGCTTGTAGGTCCTTTCCAACCTTAATGATACAATTCAGTCACTTTGTGACACTCTTTGCATCACAGGTTTCCATTGCAGGAAATTGGAAACCTCAGTCATGAAGCTCCCTAGTATTGCATCCAAATATTACTAAAATTGATGCCATCAGTACACCTTGTTTTATCCTTCCCATGGTATCCTTCCCATGCTATCAAAAAAACAACAAAGAGCAGCTGGGCAAGATGACTTTTGATGAGAAAATAGAAATTAAGTTACTCAAGCCCTGTAGCCTTCTGGAAGCCAACTTTGCAGTTACTTGGTGTGTTACTGATGGAACCATACCACAAAGTAGAGTTTATTTTTTTTATTCTGGGACTTGGAAGATGCTGAGTCCTGTCTGCTTTCCCTTCCTGTTGGGAGAATGGGAATAAGATGGTGGGAATTGTGGTTTTCAGTGGAAAAATTTTTGCAGAATGTAGGGTTCTTATTTATGTCTCGGAACATACATGGCTTTCCTTCTGCCAGCTTCCTGCTTTCTAGTGATGTCCAAGAGAAGTATTTTTGGGGGGGTTTCACACCTTTTTTTTTTTTGTCCCTATGAGGGAAATCTTCTGTCAACAGTGGATTTTGTTGAGTTTTCGATATTTGTTGTTGTGTGTTCTTTTTTCCCTGCACCCTGTTTAGAAAATAGTCTTGGATCTAAGGCTCTAGAACTTCAGGAGTCTGCTTAGGGAAGGAATTGTTTGCCTTTATTCCCAAGTGTATTCTGCATGGTATTGATGGGCATTTGCAGCAACTTTGTATTTAGGGAGTTTAGCTGGAGGAAGCATATTCCAAAATTATTGTGGCACAGCTGCAGTTCAGTAGTGATTTGAGTGGAATGAGAAGTCTGATATTTAAACCAGCCTGGCTTGTATTACTTTCCAGTCAGTAAAAAAAATGAATTATTTCAGTCTGATGTGTAGTAGGTGGCTAAGGAGAGCAGCACCTGGTGGTGTGAACCTTACAGCTGGAATTTTAGACTTCAGAAATATTCATTGTAACACAGATTGCAATGACAGTATTCTGTGAATAATCAAGCTGGATGGTTCAGAGTGTTTTTCTCCCTCTTGGAATATTGTTTATCTTGCTGCCTGTGGGATGCCTTCCTAAGTTCTGTTAGTCTTGCACAAGGAAACTGAAAACTTTGACTGCCCAGGCTGCCATGAACTGCTGATGCTTTCCAAGAGTTTCATTCCTTTGGCTGTTACACAGTAAACCAGAAAGGACAAAACATCTTTTGCTCTATTTGTAATTTCCAGCTAACAGGGAGAAATTTCCAAAACTCCATGTGAAATCCTCAAAAGAACTAATTCTGTGAAAGTGTCAGATTCTTTAAATAAAAAGCATGCTACAAGCAGACATCTAAATAACGTAATTCAGGTTGAGCTGGGTTAGTAGTGAAAAGTTTGAATTACAAAAGTTCTAGCTTTGAATTTAAAAATGCCTAAATTCTTGATTCAAACTGCAATTTAATGGTTTCTCTCCATAGTACTACAGAAGGGTACAAATAACTTCTATTCCTTGTGACTGATGCATATGTGTATGTATATATGCCTTATATGTTATGTATATATGCATTATATATTAAAAAAAAAAAAAAAAAACAAGAAAGAACTCCTACAATTTAGAACTTGTTTAAGGGTCATTTTTGGCACTGGGATTTTAAGGAATTCCAAATTCCTTATGATTTTTTGTTATTGCCAGCCAGGTTCGTTACCCAGTCTCATGCATGCTTGTGGTGGTGCTGCCACATCTGCAGCCTTCTCTGCAGCCATGGCACCATGTGGGGCTCCAAAAGCAAACTTGTAGCCAAGAGCAGGCTGTTCCTGTGGGATCAGTCCTGCTGTTTCTGTTCCCCCTGCCCTTTGGAAGAACAAGGGCCTGGAGCAAGGCCTGTCAGTGCACCTTTAGGGAGGCTCTGGGGTTCAGTTCTGAGCCTGCACAGGGAATTGTGAGTTTCTAATCTGAGCCTGGATTTTGTGCTCTCATTCAGTACAACTTAGCTTCCCCAAAGGCTTGCACACAATAAGTGCATTGTCAGGGGGAGGAAGGTCAGCTGCCTGCAGTCCCTCCCCACTGAAAGAGCTGAGTGGAAAGGTTGTCAGCTTTTGATCTCACAGCATTGATGCCTTAGGGACCTTCTGGAGACACAGTATCCACTACTTACATTTAAAATTTAATGGGCAGGCTGAGAAGTGAAAGACCTCCCTTTACCTTGTGTTCTTCACTTCTAGCTCAGAAGTGATCTAGGCATAGTTTTGTTTTTCATGTTCTATTAATGACCTGAATTGAAGATGAATTGTGGCAGGACCAAACATAATCAATAATTAGTGAGGCTTGGTCTGCAGAGGTGTAAATGCAAGGATGAAAGCCAAGTCACTTCTGCAACCTGCACTATTGAAAAGTGCCCCTGCCCACAGCAGGGGATTGGAATGAGAGGATCTTTAAGACCCCTTCCAACACAAACCATTCTATGATTCTATGTTGCAACATGTGCTGTATTTAACAGATCATCATCTTACTAGGTAGGAAAAAATGTCAGCCTTGATTGGGAAGTTGTGTGCTTAAAGGTTCATGATAGCATCTGGGTATTACCTTGGACAAGTCATTTTCTCTGCATTTATTTTAAAAATGTTTAATTAGGGAAGATTGCTTGTTTGAATACTTAAATTGCAATTTTAAGTGTGTCTCATTTGAAGGCACCAACTGAAAGCCAATTCTGAAAGGTGGTTCTATAAGAGTTCATGTGAACTGTCATGAGCAGAGGTTGTTTTTACATGGTTCTTGTGTTTTAACAATGAAACTTTGTTTTATCTGTTGTGATTGATTCTTAGTGCTGTGCTCCTCCTTAATGCTGAGACCTGCAGTGGAATCATGAACTGTTGCTACTTCTATAGCATTTTTCATACTTGAACATTGCTAAATATTCTCTTTGTGCATTAATGCTGAAGCTGTAAGCAAAATACACTGCTTCTCTCTAAAGTAATACCAAGTATCTTTAATTTTCCAAAAACTAATGAGTGACATGACCTTTTGCAGAGAGAAAGCTGTTCTCCCACTAGGCATGCTGCATCAGTTTTATGTTGGTCAATAATGCCTCAAAATGTAGAACAAGTTGTTTGCAAGGTCTTGTAATATGCAAAAGTGTGCTATTAATACTGGGAGATACACTGCCAAGGACTTTGAACATCAGTTGTGCATAAATGTTTTATGAGCATGAAGATTTTAAATAAATTTAGATTGTGCTGAGTGCTGCTTTTTAAGTGAAGCTATTTCACACCTCCCTGTTGTTTGGACTTTTGATGGTAGGTTTCATCACCACTTGGAGTTTGGCTGAAACAGTAATGAATTAAGTGATTTTTGGCTTTTTGTTTTTTTCAGAGTTCACTTTCAGTTCTTTACTGAAGTAGGCATAGAGGAGGAAACACATAGTGTTGAGTTTTGGGGTTTTTTTGGCAGCTTGAAGGCAAACTTGTGAGGCTGAATTTCTAGACCCAGTTCTATAGTGATGCATTTGGCTGCTGTGATAGAGTAACATTCCTCAAAGATATAAGGAATAAGGCAGCAAAGAATCAAGAAAATGTTTCTCTTAAGGATTATGAAATGTAGGACAAGACTGACAACATGAGTACTTTAGTGGGACTCAAAGCAACCTCAGAGCAAGGCCATAAATTGTTTCCCATAATTAAGTTGTTACAAAGTACATTGTACAACATTGTAATTGATAGTGATCCATATCAGCCTTTTGGATATGCTGGTCTCTCTAGATCAGAGTTAATTTTAGTCAGCTGTAATTACCTCTGAAAGTAATGAGAAGCTCCTCAGTGTGAAGAAACTTCAGCTTTTGTGTCTGTAGCTCAAGTCGTGGAGCCATGGAGAGTTTAAGTAACTGTCCAGCACCAGAGAGAATGTGTTTCAAGGGTCCTTAACTTTCAAAGTGAATTGAATGATTTATCAAATAACTGATCATTGGGACATGGGATTGATTTGATCGATTTGCATGTGTAAAGATTTATAAAACTGTGGTGTGATTACTATGCCAATGTGCCTGAGAAATGATCAGAATGTGTGGATTAACCATAACTATGTCCTTGGTATTGAATTATTGGTACAAATATTAGAATTCGTATTCCAGAGCTGTATATAGATTATTGAAGCATAAATAAAGATGCTTCACAACTTCTCTGTGAGGGTGGTGAGGCCCTGGCACAGGTTGCCCAGAGAAGCTGTGGCTGCTCCATCCCTGGAAGTGTCCTAGGCCAGGTTGGATGGGGTTTGGAGCAACCTGGGACAGTGGGAGGTGGAACTGGAGGATCTTTGAGGGCCCTTCCAACCCAGGCCATTCTATGAATCTGTGATAATACATACTTATAACCTAATTGTGAGGTGCTACTCTATATAAATACACACTCTGTATATGATACTTTTCTAGCCTGAGGTGGGGCGAGGTGTGCTCTTGGAGATGGAGGTGAGGGCAGCACACACTTCATTGCCTTCCTTCCACACCAGCAATGGAATTTCACCTGTGGGCACCTGTGAGTGACCTGCAGGATGCCCTGAGCCCAGTTTGGGAGCAGCTGAGCAATAGGGCAGCAGGTGTCAGCTCCTGCTGGCACCAGAGCAGGTCCCTCAGGTGGTTGTGTCAGTGCTCAGAATCCCTGAGAGGAACAGGATCAGTCCTGCAGCCAGGATTCATGGTTCATGGCAGGTGGGCAGCAAAATGTGCTGATGGAACCCCCCTCTCATGGCCAGGGAGGAACACAGGCTGCACCTCAGCAGTGAGTCTGAACCTCATCCTGATTTGTATCTTCTGTGTCTTTTCAGGGTGTTGATGATGCCTTCTACACATTAGTTCGAGAAATCAGAAAACACAAAGAGAAGATGAGCAAAGATGGTAAAAAGAAGAAAAAGAAGACAAAGACAAAGTGTATAATTATGTAAATACAATTTATCCTTATTCTTAAGAAGTACTGAAGTAATTTTGTACATTACACTAAATTATTAGCATTTGTTTTAGCATTACTTTACTTTCTGCTTCATGATCCTGGTAGCTTTACCTGAATGCTTGTTTTAAATGACAGTGGAAACTTCATTCCTCTTAAAGTGCCAGTATTCTTTGACTGTTGGTTCTTGAACTAGCAATGCCTGTGAAAATAAAAAAAAAAAAAAACAACAAAAACCCAAAACAAACAAAAAATACCCACAAAAAACCTGAGAACTGTCTTAGGACTCTTTGGTGCATGCACAGTTGCTAACTTCCTATTTTTCTTACTGATTGTGAACTTCTGTTCTGTGTGCAAAGCAAACAAATTATGCTCTACACATTTTAACATCCCCTCTGAATTTTTGGGTTTATAAATTTGGTTGGGAAAAAGGACTAGTTAGCAAAAGAAACTTTCATTTCAGCCTTTCCTTTATTTTAGACTGATTGCAATAGAGAGAGACCAGAAGCCTTTATAGTCTTCCTGTAGATTTTGCTTCTAGGCATCTAGTCTTGTAGCATTTCAGATCAACTTTAATGAATGTAAAGAGAAAACTTTCAAAAAAAATTTCACTGCAATTTGTCACGGTCACTCCTTAAATACTCTATTTTTTCTATAAAAAATTTAAAAAAAAGAAAAAAATCTAAAAATACAACAATGCACACCTGGCAATGGAAAAAGTAAAAGTTCTAATTAGGTTGATTTGCTATTGTTAATGCATTGCTTTAAGAGCTTCACTGACTTTTTGTGTCTGAAGAACAAGGTGAAATCTCCCTGTGTCAAAGCTTTGAGTAGCTTTGTTCAGTAGGGTCAGGATTTCACCCTGAGTGTCCCTAGGAAATACTAGAATGCCTTAACAGAGAAGTTGATTCAAATTCTTAGGTTAATTCATACATGGGCCCAGAATTTGCATAATTAAATCAAAATCAGTCCTAAATTATGTAATGGAGTAAAACCATTCTTCCCCCTGCTTCCCAAAGAGTGGCATTAAATATTTCTAGATGCCCATTTTGTGCAAAATAGGGGAGAAATTCTAAATTCCAGCAACATCAGATGAGTGAATGAAAGAGATGAATTTAGCTGCTTCATGCAAATAATTTGGAAATCCACTATGCCATGGAAATGGTGTGGAATTTGCACAATCTGTCAGCATAGAACATGATTTCCAGAGTCAGTGTTGTTTGTGTGATGTCTGTGAAGTACTGATTCAAAGGTTGGTGAGTGGCATTCCAGTGTCTAGACTGTCATGAAGCTACACCAAGAGTTTAATGTTGTCTTTCTCTGTGATTAAGTTTCTCTGTGATTTTTGTTCTTCTCTCCCCCCACTTTTTTTTTTTAATTGGAATTAATGCAGGATTTTTGCAGGAGCTTTCACTTTTTTGTAGTGCAGTAGCCTAGTTATCCACTGAAGTTCAAGCCAGTAGTTGCAGTGTTTGCAGTTCCTGGTGTCTCCCTGTAAATGTGGAGTTGTTTCAGGAGAGCTTTGGTCCCTGAAGGTGCACTTCTCCACAGGAGCTGACTCAGCTGCAGAGTGACACTGGAAGGTGTGACTTTGGTGTGCCCAAAAAATAAACCACAAGACATTGAGGTAGGATAGTTCAGGACACTGGAAAATTTGGAACAGGGAATAGCAGCATTGCCATAAGCTGAGGTATTCCATGGAAATTTTACACATGTATGTAAAAATTGGACTGTGTAACTTGGACCATTTCTGTGAAAAGAATTATTTTGCTTCTACAGAAAAATCCCAGAGTGACTGTTGTAGGTGGGGACCTGCAAAGCTGGCAGGGAACAGAGAGTGTCTGGATTGCTCCATATTCTTTAATTCCATTGTGTCTGGGAGAAATCAGGCCTTTTCCTGCTTGTGCCCCCTGTTCCCACCCTTCACCTAAATCCAGACCCCTCTGCTCCTCTCAATTCCCATGTGAAATCTAAGTTATGAAATATTCTGAAAAACAGTAACAGGAGAACTTAACTTTATACTGTAAGGACCAATAAGGAGCAAGAACAGATTCTTAATGTCACAAAATATTTCAGAGCTTCCAAGGTTAAAATGTGTTGGAGACAGTTACTTGCACATTTTATACACTCTTGATAATAGATGAAGAACGTAGCAAAAGTGGTTTGTAAACCTTGAGCAAATGGAAGTAATCTTCAGGTTATTTTAATTTTGGTAACTGAGTCACACTGCATGTCAAATTAGGGCTGGTCTAAAATTCTGATGTTAATTTAACTTAAAGCTGTTAGGAGAATTTGTGGCTGTAATGTCTTATTCATGAAAAGTGGGTTTCTATAGCTCTACTCTAAAGCTCTATATGAACCAATGCTGGGGTTTTTCAGCAAAAGAGAGCTATAGCTGCCAGTCTAATTAAATTAGTACAAAATCCAGTTAGATTAGCCCTTATTTACTTGAAAAAAAACCCAACCCCATCCTTGCCACTGTTGTGCAGTTTTGTCTTCCTATTTGTTGAGATTTGGTGAAGTACGTTGGATTGCAGCTTGCACAGGCTGCTCCATCATCACTGCCCTGTCCTGCCCTGTTCGATGCTTCCACAGAACATCCCTGGGTGCTGTGTCCTGAGCAGCTCCTGAGCAAGCCTGGGAGTCACTGCCCAGGTCACCATGTCAAACTGCCTTGTGTCAGGGAGTAACACCTTCTTACAGTAGCTTTATGTAACTCTGCTAAATACCTGGGTCCTTGGTTTGCTCCAAAAGGAATTATTCTGACCGGTTTCAGTGCCCTGAAATATTTTGCTGCTCTTTTGCTGTGTGGGCTTTGTTGCAGTAACAGGATAATGGGTAAATACTGACACACACAATCTTCTGCTCTTGTCTAGACTATAAAGCAATACAATTATTACCTTCAAAGACCATCAAACTGTAAAACAAATCATTGTGTCTCAAGTTTACATAAAGCTACATAGATGGTAAATCTTTCCTAACATTTCTTTATTCCACTGTCTTGTGTTTTCATGTTGAAAATACTTCTGCTTTTTCCTCTTGAGTGCCAACTTCTTACTAGAATGACTTCTTAATGTAATATGTTTACCTGGAATGTATTTTAACTATTTTTGTATAGTGTAAACTGAAACATGCACATTTTGTACATTGTGCTTTATTTGATGTGGAACATATGCAGTGTGATCCAGTTTTTCCATAATTTGGTTGTGTGACCTAGGAATGTTGGTCATGCCAGACATTAAGTTAAAAAAAGGAAAAAAAAAAAAAGACCACTGTTTGTTTTAAAATTTTTAATGTTTTTAGGAGTATGTGCTGTGAGGTGATCTGGAATTTGTCATTTTTTTGTCAAACTGTACTGCTCCTATTTATTGTAATGTAATAAAAAATAGTTATTGTGAGTGTCTGTCCCAGTTTCCTTTTCCTCTGCAAGAATTTCAGGTAACAGAGCACCCCACGAGTTCCATGTGTTTGGCAGTTGTTCTCTGGTCCTCCTTGCACTTCTGCTGTCCCAGAGCTGCTGTCCTTGTCCCCCTTGGTGTCCCTGTCTCAGAGAGGAGTGGCTCAGAGCAGGTGGAAGTGCAGAGGAGCTCAGTTGATGTGGAAGGAGTTGTTCACATCAGTGTGGTGGCAGAAACTGGAGCATGTTCGTTTCATCACAAGGTACTGTACTCTGCCATCACTTTGTAAATTCTGTCCTAGAATTCTGTGAGGATGGTGCTGCATATCCCCCCTCCCTCCTCCTCCTCAGGCCAGCTGTAATGTCAGAAATGCTCATTCAGCATTCCTGGCCTGAGCTCCTCTGGAGCTCTTCAGGAACAGTTCCCAGGAATTGGTGCTGTCTGAAGAGCTCCTGCTTTGTAACCAACAGCCCTGGAAACTTACTTTGCCTGGCTGAAAAACACCCCCAGTGGAACAACATTTTTGCTTTGGAAATTTCAAAGGAAGTCACTGACCTGGACTGTGCTGTGACTAAACCCACCTCACTTGTGACCCCATAAAGAGTGGGCCTGAGTGAGGCCCTTGGAGCTCTGCTGGACTGCAGTGGGCAGGGACCAGAAGTCTCCCTCAGAGCCAGTGAACTCCTGTTTGCTGTATTTGGAGAACCAGCACTGACAGCAGAGCATGGAATGATGCCCCTCTTCCTTGAGGCTCAACCCTTCAGTCACTGACAAGAGGCAAAGGTATCCAAGGTAAGTGCTTCAGTGAATTCCAGGGGAATTTTATACCTTCTACATACTCCTTCAGGACTGTTTGAGTGTGGATATGCTGTAGAAAATGTACCATGAATAGTGCTCTCAGAGATTTTAAGTAACTCAGGCCTATGAGTGAATTGCTGTTGTGCTTATAGGAAATTCTGTATGAATCTTTAGTTAAATTGTTCTAAATTAAACTATGGACTAAGTGCTGTTAAGTTTAAGTACTGCTAAACCTTCAGGCATAAACCCCTGGTCAGATCTGGGGCTCAGTTCAGCAAGGGGGCGTCCACTCTGAACTTAGTGACTCAATGGGAGCATCTTCCCTAATTAACTTTATCCTTACCCTTTTCCATCCTTACCCTTTTTGTATCCCCAGCATCCTCAGAGAAAAGATTTGGCTGATTTTGGTTTTAACTGATTGATTGTAGATTTTAGTTTGCTTTTTCTCTGTGTGCTTTAACCACCTAGTAAATACTGGAGTGAACTTTGTTGAATGGACTTTGTCACACTTTCATTTTTATGTTAAACCTGGTTTTGCTGATGCCTTTGCTGGCAATTCTTTGAGAGACCTTAAAACATTCCTTAGTGCCAGTGTGAAAACTTGCCAGCAGCTCTACTGCAGTGATTCCTTACCTGTTTTTGAAGATTATTTCTCCCTCCAGTGTCATTTAGTTGGTGGAAACACCAACCAACCCAACAGAGTATCAGCTCTGACAAAGTGGGAGTTGAGCCAAGGCCTACAGAGACAGCTTGGAGCAAACAGCCATGGCCAAACTCCTCTTCCAGGGCAAAGATCAAGTTTTCTATTCCTGCTGCAGCAGTTACACAACAGCAGAAATCAGCTGCTCTATGTGGAGAACCAGCACTGACAACAGAGTGTGGGAGGAGTTGCAGGAGTTGTCTTCAGGGCCCAAGTGCTTAAAGCACTGCTGTTCAAACTCACCCCTTTCCAGACCCCACAGCTGTCTCTCTGACACAGCAAGGTGGTGCCTCTGCAGGCTGAGCAGGTGAGGTTACAAACTGTAAGAATTTACTTTCACAGAATAGTCAGGGTTGGAAGGGACCTCTGCAGACCATTTAATCCGACCCCCCCTGCCCAGGCAGGGTCACCTGGAGCAGGTGACACAGGAACAACTCCAGGTGAGTTTGGGATGTCCACAGAGAAGGAGACTCCACGATCTCCCTGGACAACTGTTGAGGGCTCTGCCACCCTCAGTGTACAGAAATTCTTCCTCATGAGGTGGAACTCCTTGCTTTATGTTTATGGCCATTGCTCCTTGTCCTGCTGCTGGACACCACTGAAAAGAGCCTGGCACTGTCCTCTTGGCACCCACCCTTGAGATATTTATATGCATTGATGAGATCCCCTCTGAATCTTCTCTTCCCTGGACTAAACAGGCCCAGGTCCTGCAGTCCCTTCTCATAAGAGATGCTCCAGACCCCTCATGTTTATGGCCTCTGCTTGATCCTCTCCAGGGCTGGGAGCCTCACTTCTGAGAGGGTGCTCATTTCCAGCAGAATCAGATTGTTCAATGTGGAGGATTTTAAATCAGCTTCATCTTTCAGGTAACAAGCACAGCACCTTGAACTGACACCCAAACACACAGCTATGGGGTAAGAAGAGTTTCTGTTCAATACAAGCATTGAAGTGAAACAAAACAGGGCAGTGCAACCACTCCTTCCTGCAAAATCCTTTCATACCTGAAGTTTTAGTTTGAGAAGGTCAAAAGCATCCCAGGAAAACCTATTACCCATAACCTGCACACCCCAAACCCTTCAAATAACCTCTGGCAGGGAAGCAGCTCCCTCATTTGTGCTGTGGAGGGGTTGGAAGGATTTACATGTCACTTCTTTGCAGTTAGAGCTCTTTTATTGTTACCTTTGCTGGGTGTGAGTGGTTACAGGCACGGTCAGGGCTTGTCGTCGCTGTAGTAGCGCTGCTTCATGGCTCGGTATTTCCTCAGGAAGTACAAAGCCTCCAGCTCCTTTATAACAAACTCTCCCCGGGCAATCAGCTGCTTAATTTTTTCTGGGTCTGTCTCATCTTTGTTTTTTAGAAAAGCTGCTTTCAAACGGCTTCTGAAGTAGTCTGCTCCTTTGGGATACTCCCTTCCAAGGTACAGCAGCTTGGAGAGAAAAGAATAATAATGTGGTTTTAATTAACTGAGTGCACAGTGAAAGGGGGTTTGTTTTCTGGTTAAGGAAAGTGCTGGTGGCATTTGAGACACTTACATTTTTGTACAGTTTTATCACTTCACTTCTTAAAGAATTGGCCATTCTCACATTTCAGTGAACTGTGTCCTTGTGTGATTTTTTTTGGTTTGTTTGGGTTTTGTTACCTGAAGGACAATCAATTTGAAATTAGCCTTCTCTGGAAGTCAGTGAACCACCTCAGCCTTCCTAAAACTGCTGTATCCCACCGAGCCCCGTTTGCTCTGATTCTGGTTCTACTCCATCTCTTCTTTCTTTTTCTTTCCTACTTTTTATTCTATTTAGCTTCTCATTGTCTTCTCCCCTCTCCCCTCAAACAGAAAACAAGAAACTTCTAATAACTTTCAACAACTGGGACACTTTGTGCTGTTCATTGGCTGCTTTCTCACACCCTTACAATTCTGCACGTGCTGGCCGGGCTGCTTCTGTGGTCTGCTAAAAAAACTGTATCTACATATATATATATATAGTGGTAAAGATATCTAAATAGAATACATATTTATGTATTTTATATATTCATATAGCAGTTTATAATAACATATTTTGATGTGTTTATTTTTATCTCCACATATATTTATGTATTACATATTCCTATATTGTATATATAGATATATCAATTTTATACATATACGTTAATATTCCTGCAACTGTCACGTTCATAAATTTTGCTTTTTTAAGGACTCTTCAAGTGCATTACAAATTGAGTCCAGTGTGCACCGGCAAAACTTAAGGATAAGTGACAAAGTAACTGATTCTTATTTCTGTATTCTGTGATTTTCAAAATCACAGGACAGAACCTTAAAGATCCTCTCGTCCCCACCCGCGGCCGTGGGCAGGGACACCTTCCACTGTCCCGGCTTGCTCAGAGCCCCGCCCAGCCCGGCCTCGGACGCTGCCAGGGACGGGGCAGCCAAATCCAAATCACAAGAGACTGGAATCCAGTCCAGCTCCTGCTGCGGGGCCTTCTGGGGCCGCCGCCTCGCCCTGGCTCTGCCCGCCGCCCCGTTCCCCCCAGAGCCACGCCCGATTCCCCGCGGATTCCGGCGAGGCCGGACCGGGACCTCACCCGCTGCTCCCGGAACCGCCGCCGTGCCGCTTTACGGCAGCGCCGGGAGCGCCCGGCCCCAGCTGCGCCTGCGCCGCCGCCGCCGGGGCTGCGGGCGGGGCCTGGGGGGGCGGGAGCCTGAGGGAGGCGGGCACGGCCACGGGCACCGGGAGCCTGAGGGAAGGGCACCGGGAGCCTGAGGGAGGCGGGCACGGCCACGGGCACCGGGAGCCTGAGGGACACGGGCACCGCCATCCGCGGCGGCATTGCATCTTGAGGGACACGGGCACTGGCGTCCTGAGGGACACGGCCACGGGCACCGCCACCTGCGGCGGGATCGCATCCTGAGGGACACGGGTACCGCCACGGGCACCGTCACAGGCACCGGCGTCCTGAGGAACGCGGGCACCGCCACCCGCGGCAGGCCATGGTGGGGCAGGGAAGGGGCCTGGGTACGGGTTACATGGTGGGATGGGGAAGGATGAGGTGTGGAGTAAAGCGGGGTGTTCTTGTGAGCTGCCCAAGTCCCGGGAGGTGGGAGAAAGGCTTTGAGGATGAAAGAAGCACCCGAGGGCCGCGTTGTCTGTTGTGTGAGCCCCGGTGTGAGCCCTTGGCCGTGGGTTGCTGCTGTGGCTGCTCCGTGTGGAACCAGCCGGGAGGCGGCTCACACTTTGTTGCTAGAATGGCTCCGTGGTAAAAAACTTCATTCCAAGAGTCATATATTAGTGGCTAATTTTCTGCAGAATTGGAATTCTTGTCATTATAGTTTTTCAATAGATGATCCCATCCAATTTTAACAAAATAATACTATCTTTTTAATTATTCCTTCCATACATTGTTTTCTGATGTTCTCTTTCCTTTTTTTCCCCCTTCTGATCTTTTAGGCTCCAAAAAAAAAGGTAGGTGGGCAGAAACACGCTGTAGTTCACTGTTGTGTTTATTTTTTTATCCGATTTTTTTGGTTTTTTCCTGAGGCAGCTGGCCAGGGTTAATGAATCTGAAGGGGGAAGAGGCGTCTCCAGGGCACCGAGCTTTTGTGCCTAGAGCAGGGAAGCCAAATGTTCCTGCAGCGCTGCTGGAGGGAGCATGGCCAGCGCAGCCACTGCTTGTTTGGCTTGGCAACGGGTATCCAGGCAGAGAGACGCTGTCCTGGCTCTGTCCCCGCCATGAGGTGGCAGCAGGAGCAGGGAAGTGACTGTCCCCCTGTCCCCTGGGCTCTGGTGGGGCCGCACTTCCAGTGCTGTGTCCGGTTCTGGGCCCCTCAGTGCAAGATGGACATAGAGGGGCTGGAGCATGTCTAGAGAAGGGAAGGGAGCTGGGCAGGGGGCTGGAGCACCAGGTACAGCTGTGAGGGTGACCCTGGAGAAAAGGAGGCTCTGGACGGACCTTCTGGCTCTCTACACCTCCCTGACAGGAGGGGGCAGCCGGGGGAAATCAGGCTCTGCTCCCAGGGAACAAGGGACAGGAGGTGAGGAATGGCCTCAAGCTGTGCCAGGGCGGGTCAGGTTGGACATCAACAGGAATTTCATCACGAAAGGTTTGCCAAGCATTGGAAGGGGCTGCCCAGGGAAGTTTGGAGTTGCCATGCCTGGAGGTGTCCAAGGAAGGCCTGGACATGGCACTCAGTGCTCTGGGCTGGGGGACAATGTGGGGATTGGGCACAGCTTGGACTTGATGATCTTGGCGGCCTTTTCCAACCTTCTGGGATTCTGTTATTTGAGCCACAGGCTAGACACAGAATAAGGGGGCTGAAGGGAGAACAGGCAGAAGTCCATGGGAAACTGAGTTGCATAAATTGGTCCTGTAGGTTGTCCTTAATTCAGTGATAATGAATTTATCTACCCCTCCCCAGCTGTGCATCTCACTCTTCTCAGTGCTCTGTTAAGTCATAGGAATGTGAAAAGAAATTGACTAAAACTTGATTTAAAGTAATTGAAACAAGCAGGTTTTCCATTTTCAGTTTGTTTGTTTGTTTATTTATTTATTTATTTTTCAAAATGAAAATAACAAATTCTTCCCTGAAATCCTAATGGATAGCAGTGTGAGTTTTACTGACTCTATTTTGGGATAATTTTGCAAATGAATGCTTAGGTACTAAATGCAATAAGATGCACTCAGACTCTGGTGACACTTAATTGTCACCATTGTATATTTGTCCCAGCTTCATGGCAATCTCTGTACTCAAAGCTGCATTTATATATATATATTTATGCCAGTGCATTTATTGCCATGCCAAGTAGTGTGAAGTGAACAAGTAGTTATTTATATCTGAATGTGTGATAGTCAAAATCAGTGTGAAATAAGTGTGTGTGAAGAAGGAACAGTGGTCAGATACTTTCTGAGAACCTCAAATTTAAAATATAGTTACTCTAGGATATGCTGGAGGTGAACAGTGAACTGTCTGGAGCGAGATTTTATAACAGAAAAGCGATTTCTTTGCTATTTTTTCTTGTAAATTAGATGCTTCTCAATGCCAGGCTTGTCCCAAAATACATTTTCCAGTATTTCCTAGAATGTTTGAAGTTGTAGCATCTACTTTCTTAGCAGATCTTCCTGCTCTTCAATTTCTACATTAAACCAAAAAATTTTAATACTCTTGTGTTGTGGCTGTGTTAGGGAATGTCTAGCATAGAAAAATGCATTAATTTTAAGACCTTATCATAAAAAAGAGAAGGAAAAAAATTTTCAGAATGTGCATTAGCATTCTGGGGCCTTGGCTGTCTAGAGAGGGTAAAATCTTAATTGAAGGATCACATTGGAAGGGCAAAGTTATAGAGTTATAAAACTGCCAAAGTGTATTAAATAATACTAACATTTGCTTTCTTCTCCCTTACTGCAAACATGAAATTCAATGGCAAAAAGGGAAAGAAAGGAAAGGCAGCGAGGCTGAAAGGTACTGTGCACTTCATTTCGAGGGAATGTGATGGACAAACTGTTAATTTTAAATAAATGGACGGGAGGCCCTGAACTAGATGTGAATTGCTGTCTCTGTTTCACAAATGGCAATGTTCTTCCCTCTTTCCTGGTGTGACCAAACTCCCTGTTCCTTGATGCTGCCCCTCCCTTCCCTATCAGAGCAATTCTCTTCTCTAGTGATTCCTACTACAATTAGCAAACTGGGAAGAATTAACTTGCCATTAACCCATCCTGGTGGGGGCTTGGGCATGCTGTGACTGCCAGGAAGTGACTGCCAATCACTGGTGAGCTTTTGTGGTGAGAGTGGAAGGCTCAGGTGGGCACGGACAGATTTGGGAGCTGCTGCTGCTCTTGCCTCAGTGCAGCACACACTTGACATGATTTACTTGGAGGTGATGACATCGAGTCACTGTTTGGGGACATCTGGATGGCACACAGGCTGTGCCATCTTAGGCTGAAGGCTTAGAGGTGGAATCAGTTCTAGTTTTCACATCCTCTCTAATTTTCTAGTCCCTATGGCAGCAAAGAGAAGCCAGGGCTGTGGAGTAGCAGATCCTGAAGTGGATTTCAATGAACAAACAGCTGTAAAATTGAAATTGTAGGAAAGAAGAAGAGGAATTTGGGATTAAAGCACTGAGTTTCACTCAAGACTTTGGATTGAGAACCTGTGTCCATTGAAGCTGCTGATGGAGAGAGCACTTGCACACTGATGGGGCAGTGCCAGAGACAGTGTGTTTTTGTAGTACTCAAATAAATTTGGATCAATCTTCATATGGGAGATTTCTGTGCAGTGAAAGATAAACATTTATGTTGCTCATTTTATAGTGGTTTTCTCATGAGAGCTGGTAACCAAATAATCTCTTAGATTGTATTTAGGAAAGCATAGTTATGCCCTTGATCTCTTCCCAATCCTCAGCTGAAGCCCTGTTACGAGCTCAACAAGAAGAAGAAGCAAGACTTGAAAGGGAGAGACTGTATCGAGAGCTCGTGGAAAGGCTCGAGGCAAAGGTTGGTCTTTTACTCAATGAAAAAACCTATTCCTATTTCTGAACTTGAGACAAGACCAGTGATTTATAGGAATCCATTTCCTTATGCACTTATTGTTGGGAACAATATTGAGGAGATTTTCCAGTTCTGATAAATTTAAATACATTACCTTTTGTCATATGTGTTTCTTAAGTTTGGTTAAGTGCATTTTTTTTTATTTCCCCTTTCCACTGTGCTTTTAATTGAATATATTTTTCATATTCCCCATGAGGATATTTGGTACAAATTCCTAATTGGTTCCCTGGTCAGGCAGATACAGTGATTTGTATTTGTATTTATATATATGTGTGTGTGTACTAGACTATGTATATTTATTTTTCTGACCAGTCTGGCATTCAGAACAAAAACTGATTGGTAATAGATAAATACTTTTGTGTTTAAAAAGAAAAAAACCTGAGATTTACAGCAAACTAAATTTTTTTGAAAGAGTCACTCTTGTCTACTCCTCTTGTACTTCACAGAATATTTTTTTCCTCCTAGGGAGAAGATGGCCTTAAAATAATAAAAACTAAAAGGGAAAAAATAAAACAATCTTGCATGTTTTTTCCAAATTATCCTTACATATTGTAGCAGCTCCCATTAGAGCTGGCTCCAGGAGGCTGATATGGAAACTGTTGAAGTGAGAGGTTGCAATCATATGTGACATTATGTTTATCATGTGGCTCAGCAGCTACTGTGATGACAATAACATATTTCAAACTACTGCAGTCTTCTCAAATGGATGTTTCATAAAAAAACCCAAGTTTTCAGTGTTTGGATTTGTTTAAATAACAACTCATTCAAATATCCCCAATTTGTTTCTTCCATGTGAAATAATTGTAAGAAATAAGCCAAATATTTCACTGCTCTGTTTGGTATGTGTATTTTTTTAACAGTATGAAGGAGAGAGGGAGTCTGAACTAGCCCAACATAATTCACTTGCACAGAAGTTTCTTTCTGCAAAGCAGTGGAAAATGGATTACAGAGAACAAGCCAAGGTAAGTTTTCTTGCCAAAATCTGCCCAGAGGTTTGGCAAGGAAGAGACTTCAGGAGCTTCCAGTTCTTGAATGTGTGTGAGTGCTATGACAGCATTTTGAATTCCATCTCAAAGCAGTGACAGGCCATGCTCACTGTCTTATCTTCTGTGCTTT